GTATCAGGAAACACCCTAGGAAATTTATTTTGGAGAAAATGAAAATCCTACTTGGCCTGAACTTCCTTACCGAAAATGTCCTTTGAATACATCTGGGGTGTAGTGGTTAACTACATTGTGAATGTAACCTGTAATGTTAGGATTAATAGGTTCAAGTCAAGCACCACCCATGTACCATAATATGTCTTTATTATATCCTAGTTCTTCAAAGACTCCCCAATTGAATATCATATCGTTGGTTCCCCAACACCAAATGTTATGATTACCAATATATAAATAAGTAAATGTAAACATGTAAATGAAAGTTATTATACAGTATGATCATGATCGAATACCTTCTACATCTCCCATGGGATGCTGAAAAATTTTTCATTTTCCTAAAAACATGTAAAATTTTTGAATCTATCAATTTTCATGACCTAAATAAATCAACAATTCTTTATTCTCATTATGCAATAAAATTCACCATAAACAAACCTAACTATACGAAATATCTAAACATAATTTCTGCTTACTAAGAGAAATATGTGGAACGAAAGAAATGTTTTGCTAAAACAATAACCTGATGCATAGGTAATTATTATGTTTATCAAACATGATATGGTTTAGTTCTATTTTTGTGAACTACAATTTCTTTGTTATTTTTGGAAATCCTAATGGTCAGGTAAAATACCTTTTGAAGAAATTAAATGTCCTAAATAAAGTATTTCCTTCTTTAGAAAATTACACTTTGACGGATTCAATTTTAAATTCACATCTCTCAATCTATTGAAAACATTCAGTAAGTTTTTATTATGATCTTGCAAATTCCTACCAAAAACGATAAGATCATCCAAATATACGAAACATTGTTCATAATTGAGACCTGACATAGCGACTGTCATTACCCTAGAAAAAAAACTTGGAGACGACTTCAGACCCATCGGAAGACGTTTCATCTGATACTGACCTCTATTCGTTGTGAAAGCTGTATACTGTCTACTTTCAGGGGTTAATTCAACTTGATAATAACCTTGACTTAGATCTAGATGAGAGAAATATAACGCTCCCGATAAAGAATCAAGGATTTCCGTTATGTTGGGCAAAGGAAATTTATCGTCATGAATTTTTTGGTTTAGTTGTCTATAGTCAACTACAACTCTCCATCTTTTCTCACCACTATCATCTGCCTTTTTGGGAACAAGCAAAACTGGTGAGGACCATCCACTTCTTGCCTCTTCGATAATATCTTCTTCACGCATTTTTCTGATTTGTTTATCCAATTCAGTTTTCTGCGCGTGAGGAATTCTATATGGTTTCACATATACAGGGTTGACATTGTCTTTGAGTTGAATCGATTGTTTGTAAATATTTGTTGTTGATAATATATCACCTGATAGATGAAAAATATCACTGAATTTTGAATAAATATTCTCAATTGATATTTTTTCTTCATCATTCAAATGTTTCAAATTCAATGAATTCAATAGTTTTCTGACTCTTGAAGCAGTTACTATTTCGTTATTTTCGAACTCGCAACAATTATATTGATAAAGGTTATGTACCTCGGGTAATACATTCTTCAGAGTTACTTCAGAGTTTCTAGTATTCAGTATTCTTACAGGAATTTTACCATTATTTGGTCTTGCAATTATGCCGGCTAAAAATATACCTTCACCTAATTCTTGTGAAATTACAACACAATCTTCGCATGTGCTTACCTCTAAATATACAATACTTTCACATCTAGGAGGAATTTTGATAACTTTCTCTATTTGTGAATTCAAAGGTAATATAACCTCATATCGATTATTCAACAGGGAAAGTTGGTTTTTCTCATAATCTATAACTCCATTGAAAGTTTTTAGAAAATGTTGTCCAATAATTCCATCACTTGAACAGGATAGATTTTTGAAAACATAAAATTTCTGTTCGAAAATTGTACTATCAACTTCCAGTTCCAGAATAACATATCCCTCAGATGTCAAATTTCCTCCAATTCCTTTCACTTCTATTATTTCATTCTCTATCTTAGAATCAAAATTCAAACATTCATATTTCATCGCACATAATGATGCTCCCGTATCTACTAAAAATTCATAGTCATTTCCATTCACACAAAAATGTACACCATTCATTCCTAGACATGTATATACCTGATTAGTTACTGCTCTCACGAAAAAACTGATTCAGACCATTCTCAGATTCATCAGATTGTCCTGACCTATTCTCGAGACTGTTGCTTGATTCGTCAGCAAAATAAATACGGTGATTAGAATACCTACCTCGAGTTTGTTGACGTCGACCGCGGGTATTGTTTCTACGTATATTACTATTGAATTGTTGATTACCACTACTATGCCGATAGTCATTGTTTTAACGGTAGTTACCTCTGAGATTGAAATTATTTCCGTATCCTCTATTGTGTCGACGTTTGGGACGATGGTTATAATTCGAATGGAACTGTGAATTATAATAACCTCGATTCCCTCTTGATGGTTGCCTAAATGTAGACATGCTCATCATTTGTGAACTCTCATTTCGAGAAGTGTCTTCATCTTGTGCTGCCCTAATAGCATCTTTCAACGAAGTATAATTTCGAGAAGCTTTGATGGTACTCAGTCTCTGATTTCTGAGGCCATCAGCGAATTGTTTTATAGCATTCTTTTCATTAATTGGTCTTAGAACAGAAAATGCGTTATCATTGCCATTAGCTTGTGAAATTGTAAGATCAACAAATAGCCCTTCCAAGGTTTTGCCAAAATCTTCAATCGATTTTTCACCTTGTTTAGCTCTTGTTAATTTTGCTTGTAACGCAGTGTCTGATTTTCGCGTCAAAAGATGTTTTTTCATATCTGCCATCAACAGTGCTACACTTTGATAACCGGGCATCAACCTTAGTTTCGCACTCGCAGACAACCTAGTTTTAAGAACAAATTTTATAAGACTACTTTTGCTACCATCATCAAGCATTGAGTCGTATAAATCAATTGCATCCAACAATTGTCTAGTCGTTTCCTCGTTATCATCCATAACGGGTAACAAACTGACAGCGACTTTCAAATCGGAAGATGACATATTTGAATCTTTATGAATTTCTGTTCGTTCGTGAAAAAATAATATTTCTTTATAAGTTTTAACTATATTGGAATATAATACCTTGATAATCTCAATATCCTCTGGTTTGAATTCAGAACTATTAATATTTTCCCTAACCTTTTCGGCTACCTTCTCAAATTTTCTATATATATCCTTTGCTTCTTCAACCTTTTTTTTCAAAATATCTCCCTTACTTCTCCTATCTGGACCTATTTTAACTAAATAAACCCTAATACTTTTCAATTCCTCATTAAATTCTTCTAGTTTATTCATTTATCACTTAAAGTATGCTTGCTTTGGTAATAATTGAAATCAATTTATGTAGACCACACTCCGATAAATAAGAATGAAATAACCCAATTAACAAATAAATTCAAGTGAAAATAATGAAACATCCTATATATATATAAATTTAACGAAACTGTCCATAATGAATTGTATGAAATATTTATGTACCTATTATTATATTCCTTCCTCGGTTTACTTGTCCATATATATATTTTTCCGTCGAATCATCATGCTCAGAAAACAGGATCTTCACTCGGATTTGGATAGCTTATATGATATTATCTGTCTTCTGGAACTGTTCCTTCTACTAAACTTTGGCTACGGTAGAGCTGGATAATCTTAGTTCGTTCCTGTTGATTTTTTTTTATCGATTGGAGCGCACAAAAGGGAATCCCTATAATGTTCAAAGAACATCGTGCGTTCCTAGGGAGGATAGGGACAGGAGGTAGGTATTGGAGTTTTTTTTGAATTTTTGGAGATTATATGTTGTTGTTTCTGGCACTTTCTCATCAGAAAGTACGCACCCATCAAAATCACGCAAACAACTAGGAATATCAATATCCATTCAGTACGTGAAACTCCTCGGCTACTCAGTTTTGCATCAGCATCACCACTTGCTGTTTGGGCGATAATGACCTCTTCTTTGGATTGACGTCCTCCCATTTTAATAAACTTTCAATTGTTCTCGTTCTCCATTCACTTGTAGTTGAAAATAAGTTATGGTGACTAATTTAACTCCAGCTTTTGGTACTTATGAGATGGCACTGGCAGGATCGCCATGTAATGTTAGGATTAATAGGTTCAAATCAAGCACCACCCATGTACCATAATATGTCTTTGTTATATCCTAGTTCTTCAAAGACTCCCCAATTGAATATCATATCGTTGGTTCCCCAACACCAAATGTTATGATTACCAATATATAAATAAGTAAATGTAAACATGTAAATGAAAGTTATTATACAGTATGATCATGATCGAATACCTACTACAACCCTCTATTTTGGGTATACGTTCGATTGGCCCTCTAATCCTACTCAGAATGATTAAATTCACGGATTCCTCCATAGACTCACTGAAACTAGAGGTACTAGAGCTACTATCTGATATAAGATTCATTTCAGCATTTCCAGCCATCATATCACGCTAAATATCAAGAAACCAAACAAATACAAACAATTATAGGTTATGTTATGGATTCTCTCGTTTCCCCGCGGCCCTCCAACCCCCCTCCAGATTATTTGATATCTTTACTGCCAAATCGTTCCGAAAATAATCAGCAACTTTAGTTTACTGCCAACTGTGCCACTGGCGATTCGTTCCGAAATATATCGGAACATGGTGTAAGTTGGTAACTAAATTTTTTTTTATTCTTGTCAGTTGACCATTATCTCTATAGGGTGTAAGTAAATTCACTGAGCAGGGATATGCACTATCTCCCAGTAAGTAGAAATGTCCACACTTATTCTGTAAATTCTGTCCTAATGGAGATAAACGGAATACTCTACTGTCATGTCAGAACCAGAATATCCAATGAAGATATCTATATATACTACTTATTCTTATTTCAACTTGAGAAACCTCCAAATACCTTCAACTACTCACCTTTTTCCATTTTTCACTGGTTCTCGTACCCATTCCTAATGCATTCAATTCTTGAGCTAATTGTTCCCAGAGTTTCTTCATTTTTTCTTTTCCAACAGGACCATCTATTCTGCCCTTGGCCACTCCTGGATATTTTTCCATAAAATTTACAATCAATTCCCAGTGAACTTGGGTTACTCTGAAAGCCATGCTGAAGAATACTATGTATTATAGATAGTAGGTATACTTGATTTCCAAATTTCAAGTAAAACTTGAAATTTTCTATATTATTTTACAGTAGGTATGTAAGTAAGTAAATACTATAGCCGTCAGCCGCAGACAAGAAAAATATGAAAACTTTTTTCTTTGTTGACAGAATTTAATAATAAACAAAAAGTTAGGAAGAAAAAGAACAACATGATATTCGATAAAGATGGATATATATCGTGTCGACTCACGACAAGTGAGTGGCTGTCGTCAACTAATCGTTAGAATATAGGCAATTTGCGACACAAATACGATTGCCAAATAGCTTGGGAATCGACAAAATCGTGATTACGATACGATTGACGTCCGATCGTGACTTCGGAATCCCACTGCTGTTCTAATCCAGTAAAATGACATAAATGGAACAAACCTAATATAACCTCACATAAATGACAAAGAAAAATCGAAAATCATCCGAAAATCATTCAATTTCTGCCAAGGAATCAACAAGGTACGTCTCTGAATGTAACCCAGGGATTTATTTGTTTACTTTGAAAGTTTTCAAGCTGACATATTTTTACAAGATTTCTACTTCCACTATATGAATTTACTTCAACAATTCGTTCATTTCAGATCAACATTTTACTGTCCAGGAACTTCAAATCACTTCACAGATAACAGAAAGAACCTATCAAAACAATTGGACACGTATATTCAGGTGAGTTCATTCGAATTCCTTTATATTTATTACCTTATTAATCTTTGTTTGTTTTCAGGTATTTTCAAGTGTTCCAGACTATAAACTGCTAGAGGCCTATACAAGTATCATGATATGAATGAAATATGAAGTAGCATGTGTGTATTTTCCTATTTTCAAATGAATAAAGGGTGTTATACAGAGTGATCAATGTGAGCATATCATAGTGAAGATACCATTTCACTATCTTTAAACACTAGAACAATTTTTATGGTCTGGTATCTTTATGTTGATAAGTTCTTCATTCATTTTGAGATTCTAAACGAGATATACCATATAATATGAAAATTGGTCAATTTTTATGTTACAAGGGGCACTACTCCAGTTCCATATTTTTCCACATGTCTGCAAATGAAAATCAAGAATGCAGTAACATGACAGCATTTTTCTAGAGTGGACTGTTTGCACTCACATGTTCCCTTGACCACAGCTCCAGAAATTTTGTTCAAACCAATAACAACAGTGTATAGAACTTTTTTTCGAAATGAAGACTGGCACTCGCATTTTGCAATATAATAACTCCCATTTGATGAATCATATATTTCACTGACATGGTCACTATCTACATATTGACTTCCCTTTCTGAATGGTTTCACTGAAGTAACAACATTCTCTCCATCATTGATTTCTATATCAGGGTCTTCATTTTGAACATCTTCACCAATAATGTGAGTATAAATATGTTCTTTGTTGAAATATTCAGGAATATAACAAGAAGGAAATCTTCCCCACTTCGCTCTAACAAGAATAAGCAAATCATCATAGTGTCTGCTATAACTTGTGCATCTTGGTTCAAATTCCTTTTCAAATCATACCGTTTTCCATTATATATTCCTGGAGAAATTTTCTGATATTGACCATTTTTTATACAGTTGTCAACCCTGCAACAGGAAAATAAACATGAAAAAAGATTCAGATATAATTTCTGAAGGAAGTGTAGGCGAGCACAAATTAAATGGGAATTCAAAATACACCCATAGATTCAGTAATGAATAATATGACATGAAGATGTGCCACACTAAGGCATGAAGGATTAACCTTACTGAAGATATTTTGTCCTCGAATTGATAGGACATGAAATGATGTTTTTATGTGAAATAATGAGCTCGTATATGATGATTATGTATATTTATGAATTATGAAGATGGTTATAATAATATTCACCCACGGGGATGATTTTCCGAAAATGGAAAATATTCGCAAGTTGTTAGACAAAGAAATGTACGGTCTAGATCTAACAAAATTGGAGGAATGAGAATGCGGTATTTAACAGGAGTATTTTCAATCAGTTCAATAATGTTTAAGTGGTAAAATATCACGAAATAGTTCTCAATTTTATCATCATGAACATTGAAGTTATCGAAATATCGTAAATGAGGAAATGAAGATTTTTTTTATTGAATAAACGCCAATTCATTGTGTAACCGGTTACACCAAAGATAAATAAATAAATCGAATGAAGTTCTGATAATATTTCATATTGAACAAAAAATAATCACATAGGCCTATGTGTCGAAATATTGTTCATGAAGTACATGAAAGTACCAATTCTCGGACGTTTCATCAGTTTATTCAAGCTGCCAACAAAAGTTGTCAGATGAATACTCTTTTAAAACTTACGGTTTGGACCTGGAATGTCAAAAATGATCAATATGTATGAAATAATACGTCGATAATCAGAATTAGTATGAGAAAAAGAATGGCAGAAATATTACACGGATTGCTTACAAATAAGTAAAGCAATATTTACGCGTAGTGAACTACGTAAGAAACATCTCACTTTGTTTATAAAACAAAACGAGAGATAATGAATATCTGACAGATATAATTATAAGATCAACTGACTTACTTTGAGGAAGTTTGATCGTAATTATACGAACATTTTCGTCTCGAATTATAATTGATAGACTACTTGTAGTTTGTTTATTTTAAAGTGAGATTAAAATTAGTCCGACAACTCTGTCTTCAGTCTGGCAACTCCGCTCTCGTTCACCTTCAATCGTCGTACCTCTCCGCACCGCGCACCGCTGTCGATATCGTCATTGTTCTTTGAGAAAATTGCTAGATCGTCTGGGTGGGAAATTTAGGGGTGGGTTATAATTTTTCGACGAAAATGTTCGTATAATTACGATCAAACTTTCTTTAGGTAAGTCAGTTGATCTTATAATTATACTTCACATTTTCGTCTCTAATTATAATTAATAGACTACTTGTAGTTGTTCAAAGAGACTAGGATTTTAAATCATCATCCAAATATTTGTAAATAAAATTATTTCTTGGTAATACAGGTAACGTGTAAAAAATACGAAATATAACTATAATTATTCAGTCAATATCAATTCCAGAGGCTCCCATTACCCCCCTTGCAAAATTACTAGGGTCTTCTTGAATTGGTTTATTGTAGAACCTCATGAATACCTGAGATTCTGGAGACCATCCAGCTGCCTTTCTTATTGCCTCCATATTTATTCCTGCTCTGAACGCAGCAGATGAAGAGGCATGTCTCACACTATAACTCGTGAATTGAGTAGTGTCAATTCCTCCTGCCACAAGGGCTTTTTTGATATATTATTTGATAAAATTAAATATTCCTCACATAGAGGTCTCTCTAAACCTGTTCTTTCAATGTAGGTATATAGGGTTTTCCCCAAACACAGTTCAGGTTTCTCTCGAAAAACTGGTACTATTATTAGCGGCTGGACACTTTTGGGATTCGACGTTTTGATTCTGTCCGTTATAAAAATTTCAACCCTGTCTTCAAATTTCTTGATGTTTTCGAGTTTTATATTTGAAATAGTTTGAATTCTCTGGGATGAAATATTTGCTAATAGTGTTACCAATTTGACCGTCAATTCTCTCATATTTGATTGTTCTAATGGGTAAAGACTTTTTAGGTACATTATAACGGGATGTGGGTCCCATGTTTTATTATATTTTGGTTGAGATGGTCTTTGGTTATAAATACCCTTGAGAACCCTCTTCGAAAGTTTCTCATCCTCTCCTCTGATTTGAAATATGAACGTCAGCGCTGATTTGTATGCATTTATCAGGGAGTAAGATTTGCCCTCCTGGTATAGAGTGTTCAGAAAAGTGATAATTTTTCTTACGTCCAACTTGTATGGATCCAAGTTGTGTTTTCCCGCGAATCACCACCAAGCTCCGAAACAGCATTCATATTGCCTCATGGTTGCCTCGGTGATCGAATGAGTTATTGTGTGGAGTGCCTCTGGTGGTACTCCTTTCTTGCTGAATAATCTCCGCACACACCTGCACCAGAGTAATTTTTGGCCAGAAAGGATGAGGAGATCTGAAAGGTGACAGAAGAAGGTCTTCATTTGGTTGAAATACCAGTGGTGCCGATTCTAATAATCTTATGAAGGCTGGGTACCAAGGTTGGTTTGGCCATTCTGGTACCACAACTATGCCCCTCGCTTTTTCTCTTTCAATCTTTTCTAGCATGTTGGAAATTATGGAAAAAAGGTGAAAAAGAGTAGAAAAACCATGAATTCCATTTCTTAGTGAATGCATCTACTGCAATTTATGATCAAACGAACTTACCTGAAGTGAAGTTCGATCGTAATTATATGAAGCGTCCAATCCGAAGATATCACTTTACCAGGTAGTACGCCACTGTCGTACCAATGCGCACAATGTTTAAAGTTTTTGTATCCCACTCCCCGCTTACCTGTCTCCTTTGTATTCGGCCGTTCTCTGGTCATTTTGTTTAGAATTATTGGTAATCGCAACCGGGGTAACAATGTCTATTGATCTTGTTATCAATGGGTGGGTGGGAAGTGATATCTTCGGATTGGACGCTTCATATGATTACGATCGAACTTCACTTCAGGTAAGTTCGTTTGATCATAAATTATATTTCAGCGTCCAATCCTCTATATCACTTTACCAGGTAGATGTTCAGAGATGCCTTAGTTGCGATTACTGTTTTTTTTTTTGGATCATTCCACGTTCATGTATCAAAACAACTTTATTAATAAAGTGAACAATCAGTGAACTGTACATTCAGTCACAAGAAATTGAGAACGAAACAAATTATTAGGTTTTCTCGAACTAAAAATTAGAATTTCTTTCAGCAAAGCATGAGCTATGCTGCCTAGCATAGTCCTAGGACAGAATTTGCGAAATCATTTTGTCGTGCAATGGGTCTATCATAAAATCTGGTGA